TGTACCACTGTACTCTGTCCTGCCTCCTTTGAGAGTCCCCCCCCCTTAACGCCTTACTAATTTCCTGACATCTATGGGTATTCTAAATGCAACACAGATATCTAAATAGTTAAGCGAACACTGAGAAATGGGGTGGGGTTAGAGGCACCATTTGTCTTTCTGGATATGAGTTCCCTTACTCAGAAGGGCTGATTCCAGCTCCATCCATTTACCTGTGGGTTTCAGAATTTCGTTTCATTAATAGTTAAATAATACCAACTCCTGTTTTTTTGTTTCGATTTTTGTTTTATGTCTTTTGATTAAAAGTTCTGAGATTATATATTCCTTGTGTCCTCTTTGGTATGTTAAATCTCTTCAGACTGAAGTATATCTTCTAATATCATCTGTAGAGTGGCTTTGTGGACATAATTTCCTTGTCTATTTTTGTTGTGTAAAGTTTTTTTTTTCACCATTGATTATGACTAATAGTTTTGCTGGTATGGTGTCTGTTGGTTTCTTAGAACTTAGTCCTCCTGGCCTTCTAGGTTTCCATTGAGAAGTCAGGTACTCTGATGAACCTGCCTGTATTTTTTACTTGGTCTTTCTCTCTAGATGCTTTAGTATTCTGTTTTCTGTGTTTAATGTTTTGGCTGTAATGGTGGCTTTTCTAGTCCTATCTAGAGGTATTCTATAATAAGCCTTATGGGTCTTAATAGGCATCTCTTTTCTTAGATAAGACTTTGTTGAGAATATTTTCTTTGCCTTTGACCTGTGTATTTTTTCTACTTGTATTCTTATTATGTGTAAGTTTGCTCTTTGCAGTTCCCAGCTTTCCTGCCTGCCCCTTCTGGGTTTTGGTCGGTTTCTTTGACTGACGTGTTCCTGCACCTGGCCTGTGGCACCTGAGAGTCTCTTCTGTTTGAAACAGTTTCTCTGAGCTCTTTGCTGACTGCTTGAGTTCAAGTTTTCTTTCGTTTTTTTGCTTTTCTCTAGAGATTCTTTTTTATTATTCTCATATCTTGAATTGTTTTCTTTATTTCATTCAACTGTTTTAACTCATGGTCTTCAGGTCTTCATTTAGAAATTTGTATCTTTTTTTTTTTAGTTCCTTGAACATATTTATAATTGCTGTTTTGAAAACATTCTCCTGTGCATTATCAGAGATGCTTTTTCTCAGGAAACATTACAATGGGGCACGAGTTATTCATGTGACCTAGGGGCATGTGGAATTAAGTGTCTCATGTTTTCTGAATGGTTGTTTGAATTCTGGTTTGCTGTCACCCCAGCTTGTCAGCTTGTGCTTGGTGAGAGGAATTTGGCCATTCTGTGTTGGTATGCGAATGAAGTGTCAAAAGTGGTCCTGGTTCAGCAAGGGACGGGTGCGACTTCTGAGCCTAGGAGATCACTTCTGACCATCAGAGGTCTCTGCAGGCTCTTGTTAGTAGTACTTGAAAAATGGGCTGCAGTCTTTGGTTAGACTGGGGTGGGCATGGGGATGGGTTCAGGTGACCTACCTGGAGTTCTGAGGAAGACTCCATAAGGTGCCAGGTCCAGGTCTAGGTGGGGTGATGGAATGAGGTAATTGAGAGGCATGTGGGTAGGAGGGTAGGCTCAGACCACCTACTTGGATTCCTGGGGAGAACTTGATGTTGTACCAATACTTTAGAAAGGTGGTGGATGGCTGGGTGACTGATGGGCAGGGGAGGGGATGGATCCTGATGGCCTATGTGGAGTTAGTTCTAGGGCAGACATTACATAGTTCTGGTCCAGGCTGGGTGGTACAGGGGTCGGGGTGACAGATAAGCAGGCTGCTTGGAGAGTAGGTCTGCATGGTATAGGTCTCTTTGTTAATATTTCTGCACAGGAGCTTCTCAAGTCCTTTGACACCAGTAATCTGAATATTTGCCCTTTCCATCCTTTTTGGAGTTCCTTAAGGTTTCTGTGTTCTTCATTCCTTTGTATACTTTAAATAAGCTTACTTTGCCTTAGTGGTCCTTCCACCTCACTCATTTGGTCTCCTGCTTGACCTGTCCAATGGTGCCTCTGACATGCTGTATATTTCACTGTGTGCAGTTTTACAACTCAAAATTGCTTTCGCCTCTCAGTTTCCCAGTTTTTTCGTGAAGCATGTTGAGTTTCCCTTCAGATGGTGCGTATGTTCCCTTGGTAGTTCCCAAATGGTGACGAGTACCTGGTCAGATTCTTGACACTGTAGTTGAGCACTCAGTGGCTTCCCGGAAGTGTTGGTGTTTATTGGCATGTAGTGCATTTAATCCAGCTTCCTAAGCAATGTGCTGTGTCTAACCCTGTGGTCACGTCCTCTGTTCCAGAACTAGATGGCACCAGGTCCAGATTAGCGTGTTGTCTCTGCTTCAGTATTTGAGAGCCATTCAAGCCAGGTTTTGTTCCAGAGAGTCTATCAGCATATTACTTAGAAAGAAACGGAAGACTGCCTTATGTAAAGTGTAGTCTGTTTCTAGAAGTGTGTGCTGGGACAAGAATGAGATTCATTCTTTACAATAACAGGCCTGCGGTCAAACACTAGGTTTTTGTCTGCTCTAGACAGACTCACGGTGGATGGATCAGTCCCAGGCTCTTAACTCTTATTTGTGGCATCAAAGCCAACAAGATTTTATTTATATATGTGTGTGTGTGTGTGTTATATATACATCATACCATGAGCCCGGGATCAACATTTCTGTGGGTGGCCTATTGCTGTGGTGGATTTATGACCCAACATTGCCACAGCCAACTACAGGTACTATCTTTTGTACCGTCTGAGTAGACTGTCCTTGTATATGTTTCTGTCACTAGAGCTTATCTGTGTGGTCTCTGCACAGGTTGACCCCAGGGGCTGCTGGGATATGTACATCATTAGCTTTCTGCAGTCCAGTGTTCACTGCCTTTGCCTTTCCCAGCAAGTAAGGTTTTGTATCATTCTCTGCTGCTCAAGGTTAGGGGATGCTAGTGTGGGCAGATCCTTGGCCGTCTGTACCGGTACTGAGGTGAGTCATACCAGAGCTGTAGAACTTCACGGACCTGCACAATTTCAGTGCTGCACTGAAGTGCACACTGCGGCCAGAGAGAATGTAGATTAACCAACACAGGTCTCACAAAGGGCGCTTTCCGCCTGCTGTCACGGTATAGACTAAGGGGTCAGCTCTAAGCACTGTCCTGGCACCAGTTACGCCACCCTACATTAGGAGCCAAGTGGTACAGTCCAGCCCATTGGACGTCATAGCTCTGCTAAGCTGGACTTGCTCATAACTGACCCTTGCTCAGGCACCTGCAGTTACAGGGAGAGACCATCACCAACTGAAGTAGCTAAAACTCAGGTCTGTGCACCAGGAATGCTGGTCTCCTGTTGCAGACTGGTGTCTGTAGGCTTACTCTGCGCTGTGGTCTATTTTCCGCTGGGCACTGTTCTTACTGCACTGGCCTGTCACTGGGTTCTGAGGTAGCTCTGCATGCTTTCATGACTTTCTCCTCGTTTTGCTGGCTGTAGTCGGAAGAGTAGTTAGTAAAGCTTTCTCTTGTCTGCCTGTCTGGCACAATTTCAGCACTCACTTCTGGGGGCACTAGCCTGGACAGTAGGGGTTGTGAGACTGCACAGCATCGAGCTTCACTGTGGCAGGCCCAGCACACAGTTTAAGGTAAGCACATAATTGTCAGTTAGCTCATCTCTTTATTCTCCTTCTGGTAGTCTGGTTTATGAATAGCCTGTAAGGAGAGAAAAGCTGCTGTTGGAGTTCAGTCTTCAAGCTGTGCGTTCCTTAGGTTTTCACAAATACACCGTGCTGTTTAGCATCGTACAGAATACCGACCACCATCGATCATTTCCCTGTCCTACATGTTGCCTTATCTAAGATAAGGTACTTGTTTTTAATCACACTCATTTGTTGTGTGTGCTTGCACGTGTCAGTGTGCAAGTACCATAGCACGCACATGGGAGTCAGCACAACTTGCCGAGAGTTGGTCATCTCCTTTCACCCTATGGGTCCTAGGGAGCAAGTGCCTGTACTGACTAAGCTGTCTCTGCAGCCCATGCGAGGTATTTACCCCATAGAGAGATGACTCTTTTCCGATGGTCTTACTCATTGAGCTGTGTGCATTTGAGATTCATTTCTTCGTGTCTGAAGCTTGATACCTTACTCACGCCTTCTCCCCTCCCTCCCTCCCTCCCTCCCTCCCTCCCTCCCTCCCTCCCTCCCTCCCTCCCTCCCTCCCTCCCTCCCTCCCTCTCTCTCTCTCTCTCTCTCTCTCTCCCCCCACCCCCTCCCCCTCCCTCCCCTGCCCCCATAAGGAAGCTTCCTACTCTGTCACATTCCATAACAGTTTGTATGGCATACATGTCCACTTTATTTTATGTTCTGTGTTTCAGAAAATGTATCTTTTAAAAAATATTTCAGTGTTTCCATTAATACATGTTATGCGCGTTGATTCCTGAAGGAGAACTAACACTAAATTTCATGGAAAGCTTCGTTTTTAAGTTTTAAAGTCACATAATACTTTTCGTTTTTTCTGACTTGGTCAAGAATCTGTGTCCCAGGTTGATAAAGAATGCAGTATCCCCTAATGGAACTGCTGGCATTGTCCATTTGACTTGGTAATACATAATGAGGAGCCTTGGAGCCCGTCTTTCTATGGCGATACCAACCTGTCCCGGCTGCAGTGCCCCTTGCCCTGTGCGTTTCTCAGACCACGCGCGTGTGCTTCCCGCACTGCGCTCTTCTTGAGTGAGTATGCTCGCACAGTCTCCTGCCTGCACGGGCAGTCAGGCCCCGCCCCACACTCACACCCCTTTGCTCAAGGTGGAGCTGGCCCATCCAGTTACAATAGACATTGTGATTATGTAATGACATTTCAAGTTTCTAAATTTTCTAAAATTATGCTCTGGTATGACATGGTATGTTGTTAGTTTTTTTTTTTGTAAGCCTTTTCGATATGAAAACTTCACTAATCTGATACTTTCTCTTTTGAAGATGAGTTTCTTGATGTTGTTTCTTTTCTCTGTTTCACAGGGTACCGTTAATAAAGTATCTTCCAGTCATATTGGCTGTTTAGTACATGGGTGTTTTAATGCCTCTATCCCTAAGCCTGAGCATCTGTCATATGAAGAGTGGCAGAACTTGGAGATAAATGTTGGCGATGAACTGGAATTTGATGTATTTCGTTTAGATTCAGATTCTGCTGGTGTATTCTGCATTCGAGGAAAACTAGATACCACAAGGTTAGTGTATGATGGTTGAAATGGTAAATAGGAGGCTTTATTGCTCTAGTATATACTGGAAGTAAATACTTTTTCTTTCTCAAATGTCCTGGTTTAGGTAATTAGCCTGGATTTAATGTTTAATGGCTAGGATTTTCTTAACCAACCCCGAAGTCTGAAGCTGTGTTTGAGCTTCTGTAGAACAGTAAAAGAAAAAACAAAAAAACATTTTATTGTCAAATTTGGGCCAGGTATAGTGGCATGTGCCAGTAATCCCAGCATTCTGAAGGCTTGGACAGGAGTCTTCTGAGTTGGAGACCTACCTGCCACAGGGAGAAATAACAACAATCAGAAAGTAGCTGGGTAGTTTTACCATCGACAATGTGTAGAATTTAGAGGCCTGGGTAGTAACAAGATAGAACATTTGGAATTAGAGCCATACTGTTTTATATACTTTTGTTGTGCAAAAACCATAGTCTATTGAAATTTTCCAGTCTTTTTGCTTATTGCTGTTAATATTTTTAAATCTGCTCTTTTACAGTTTGCAACTTAAGAGCTCTGCAGTTTCTGAAGATGTAACAGAAATTGGCATTGAAGAAGTTGCTGAAAAAACTTCAAAGAAAAAAAAGAAGAAAAAAGACGCAGGAACAGCAGTCAATGGTGTCACAGAACTAGCAAATTGTGCAGATGTCACTCCAAAGGAAGAAACAGACCTACTGTGTGGTGGTTCTGTGAATGACGTCTGTGAAGAAGAGCCAAAGAAGAAGAAAAAGAAGAAGAAAAGGCACCAGGAAGATCAGGACCCTGTTTTCCAAGCCAGTGACTCCAGTGGCTACCAAAGTGACCATAAGAAGAAAAAAAAGAAACGGAAACACAGAGAAGAGATTGACTCTGCGTCACCTAAGAAGAGATAGTGACTGTCTCTTGCATTTTGACATACTTACATACAATACGGTATAGGTGATTAAATGCTGTGTAGATACATGAGAAGGTCACAAACACTTGTTATTGGAGAGTTTTGTACTACAATCATACATGTGACTATATAAATTTTAGCTAATACTGATAGGATTAAAGTATCTTTTTATTACACAGTGTAAAATGTTAACAACTGCTTTCCACTCCTGTCTCAGATGTTAACACTCTCTATAAAATTCTGAATTCTCAGTATTTGCCAAAGAACTTTGTAATACTTTCAGTTTTTTTTCTGATAATAAATTTTGCTCTTATTTAGAATATGGTTTTATTTTTAAAAGCTCAATACATTTACTACTTTTAAATTTCCCTTAAACAGTATTTCTATTTTATCTAATATGTATAACTAAAGAATATCTAGAACACTTCTGTAACCTGTGGCTTTCAGTGTTCAATGTGTGGTGGGTGGAAAACTCATTCTCTCCCAGAATATGTTTACGTATGTGTGCGTGCGTGTGTGCGTGCGTGCGTGAGTGTGTGTATGCATGTTCTCTAACCCCGAGACTATAATGGGAAGGGCTGTTTACTTTGACCTCATGTCTCTACAGTATTCCTTTTGTTATGTATGGATCATGAGCAAGATGAAGATGGGATAAATGTGATTCTTATTAGTTGAAAATGTTTTTAATTATTAGGGTTAGGCTGCTAAGATTGCTTTGAAGAGGAGACACCCATTGTTGCTGTTATTGATATAAAAATGTGGAACACATTATGAGTAACCAGAATATGGTTATGAGACGATAAACTGGTTGAGGCTCATAATCAATCCATAGCCACGCGTTTATAGACATTTAACATCTGTAGTGTATTTTATTGAAGGACAAGGATATAAAGTCAATTGTAATGTAATTATTCTTCCATTAATCAACATGGGAGAAACGTGTGTGCACATCCTAAATAAGAAAGTAAGGAAAGGTTAGTGATTACAGTAAATACCAGGAAGAAAACACTGACAGCTCTTTATTTAGTATCTGTATATCTACAGGGATTGGGCCGACCTTGTCAGTTACTTCTGCTGTCCCTGACTGAGTGGCAGACATAGTGTGAGCATTAATGTTTGATAAAGTAAATTTTGCCAATTGTATTTTTATATATATAAATTTTTATTTAAATTAAAAACAATCTTATTTTACATACCAGTCCCAGTTACCTCTCCCTCCCATCCTCCCATGCCCCCCCCCCCCCCACCCCATCCCACCCTCCATCCACTCTCCAGGGAGGGGGAATCTTCCCATGAGGGATCATCAAAGTCTGTCACATCGTTTGGGGAAGGACCTAGGTACTCCAGTGTATCTAGGCTGAGAGAGTATCCCTCCATAAGGAATGGGCTCCTAAAGCCCATTTGTGCACTAGGAAGAAATACTGGCTTCTCTGCCAGAGGCCCCATAGGCTGCCCAGGCCTGCCAACTGACAAGCACTTTCAGGGGGCTTGGTTCAGTCCTATGCTGTTCCCCAGCTGTCTGACTAGGGTCTGCGAACTTCCCCTTGTTCAGGCCAGCTGTTTCTGTGGGTTTCCCCAGCCTGGTCTTGACCCCTTTGCTCATCACTCCTCTCTCTCTGCAACTGGATTCCAGGAGTTCAGCTCAGTGCTTAGCTGTGATCTCTGCTTCTGCTTCCATCAGCTACTGGATGAAGGCTCTAGGATGACATTAGTCCATGGTCCATAGAGTCTAAGGAATGGCAGCAACTTAGTGTGTACAAATATAACTGCCAGGGAAGTTATAAACATCTTGCAGGTAGCTTTCGAGTGAGTCTCTGAGCTATGGCTGTTCCAAATTGACATGTGTTGTCAATATAAAACAGGATATTTTAAAGATGTACAAAAACAAAAAAAAAAGTGTCTCGGTATTTATATTGGTGGAATTTTAAATTTTTTGCTTAACATTTTGCTGTGGTGATTTAAGTAAAATGCTAATTTTAGCCGTTTCCAATTTAATTTTTCCTCAAAGTATTAATAAAAATCGTCCACGAGACTCACATTACCTTTAAATAGATACGCGAGCTGAAAAGGGTTTGAAGTAAGCTTTGTCGTTAGGATTTGATGTAACATATCCGAAAATGCTCAGTAAATGTTTGCTTCATTTTTATATAATTATATAATCATAATTTTGTTTGATACAGATAATTTTAAGTCACATAATTCAAACTTTCCATGCATACCAAGAACACATGTTTATGCTAATTGATGAAAAAGTACATTATAGAATAGTAAATAACTAAATTCCCACATTTTTATTTTCTCTCAAGTGATTTTCTTTGAGTTTTTAAAAAGAAATTCTTGTTTGAAGGAGAGGTGGCCTCTCAAACATACCTTCCTCATGAGTGAAAATTATAAAATTTCTCTGCATGATTGTTAAGTTACACCAGGGATTTAAGTGAATATAGCCTAGTCACAGTAGCCCTTTAAAATAGAAGCTTTCTACACCTAGAGGCACAAGAGGAACAGAGAAACACAGCCATGAGAAAATCTTGATGAGAGATCTAGGTGAGGGGATCCTGAACCCAAGGGTAAGGAGCTAAGTTGTCCCTGACCAACAGCAGGGAAAATGGTCCTACATCCACAAAAACCTGAATTCTGTCAGGGACAAGAATGAATCACAAAGTAGAACACCTTGTCTGAGGTCCTTGAGTTAAACACTCAACTAGACCTCGATCTATGTGGGTCTAGAACCAACCTGTACCTTGCAGACTTCTTGTGTGTGGTTTGTGTGTCCCTGCTTGTGTACATACAGAAGCCAGGGGTTAACTGGGTATCTTTCTCAGTCTCTTACTTGTTTGATTCAACTAGGCAGGCTGGCCAGTGAGCCTCAGGGACCTTCCTGTCCCCATGTCCCCATGCTGAGATTCTGGGTGTGTGCAGCTCCTAGCTTTCTTTCTGGGGATCAAGCTGAGGTCCATGTATTAAATAGCAGTTACTTAAGGGATGAATCGTCTCTCCAGCCCTCCCTGTCAGTCTTCGAGAAAACAAAAATTCTATAAAATGGTCAGTTTTCCTAATCATTTTAGCTTAGTTTGTGCAGTGACAACTAAATTTTTGTCTATCCTAACCATAAGTGTTTTAGGGAACTTGTTTCATGTTACACCCCATTAAACATTTTTTTGAAATGTGCTAATTGGTCCTTGTATATTACAAACTTTCTGATTTTGTGTATTAACACATTGAACCAGCTATACCAAAAAATCATGTGTTTTCTTAGCTTCAAATTGCTGTAGACTTTATTTGCCATGGCCCTGATTTTGTTCTATTGTTTCTTCTTCTTTACTAACTCCTATAATCAATCCACTTCTCCCTTCACCTTTCCTTGGCTTCATAAGCTAAATACTTTTCATTAATTTCTAGCATTAGTACTAGAAATATTTGACACTAAAATGTTCCAATTTTTCTTGTATATGTCCTCTAAGTTTCCACAAAGCAGTATTCATTGTATTACTGAAATTCTGCCTTTGAACTGTTTTTACTCAAGGCTCACTTTAGAAATGTACATTATACCATTTGATATTCTGTTAATTTGTTTATGTGTTTTCACACTGATCTGGAAATCAGAAGAGCCCAGATTTGCCTTTAATTCATGGCCTCCGAAGTGACTTACAGGTTGCTAACTTTTAATTGCTCACTTTCTTTTGTATCATGCATTGTATTCTACAATGTAAGGTCTGATTTTTACTGTCAGAAATTGAGATAATTGGGTTAGTACACTGTAAAAAGAGAAAGTCTTTATATATTTGTAAAGAATATCTTCTTAAAACTACATGAAGTTCTGGCATAAAAAGCAGACTTTAGGGGCTGAAGAGATGATTCTGTGATCAAGAGGACTTACAGCCCTTCTGGAGGACCTGAGTTCAGTTCCCAGCTCCCATGTCAGGGTTTACAAATGCCTGTAACTCCACCTCCAGGGTGCCTAGCATGGCCTTCTGGTGTCCTTGGGGACTGCATACACATGCGCATACCAAACAAAGAGAAACATAATTAAACAATAAATTTTACTAATAACCTTTTTGCAGTTACCTGTGTGTCCCTCCCTTCTACCCCTCCATGTCATCCCAGAGCCCTGTGACTGCTAGCCCGAGCTGCCACCTCCTCCCTAGCGCCACGTCCTTGCTTCATTGAGACTCCCAGTTCCCAGCTTGCTACCCACCAGTGACTCCAGCCATCACGCATAGTCTGGAGACCTAGGTGGGTGACCTGCGCCTACCTTTCCGGTCCTCTGTTTGGTTGGCCCAAAGCCCCACATCAATTGCCAGAGACCACAGCTGACACCTCTGTTTTATTCCAGGGTTCCCTGCCAGCTGCCTGACTGGGACCCTCCATTTTGCCCCATCTGGCTAGAGATCTAAGACCAAGCCACACTGCCAAGGAGAACTGCAAACCCAGCCAAGACAATGAACTCACCATACTATGGCTGACAAAAGGGCTGGAACTGAGGATGTTTCCCTAAATGCAGACAGAAAATCAACATCCCTGCCTTGCTGATGAACTAGTTTCCTTCTGTATGTTGTAAATACCTTTCCTAAAAGAAAGGTTTCTTGAACAAAGTAACTCAACTACCAAATTCCAGATGCAGGTTATAACACAGCAATAAAAATATGGAAAGCCAAAGTAAGCATGTCTCCAAAAAATAAAAATGGCCACAGTAATAACCCCCAATGAGAATGGCTTGGAAGAACTTCCATATGAACAATTCAAATGGTTATAACTATATTCAAATAAGAAAGAAGACTGGAATGGGAAAGTCACTCCAACACATGAAAATAGAGTTTCCCTTCACCGCTTTCCTGTCCTCTACCAGAAATCATGTCATTGGCCCTCACTCTTAAACTAATACCCAGTATCCTGGGTCTCACAGAGATTCTAAGACTTGAACTTTCCAGTCTCCATAATCGAGTAAGCCTGTTTCTTAATCTTGGTACCTGTCTCTGTGGATGGCTTCTGTCTCTTTGGGCAATGGTGATTAAGTTTTCTGCCATAGGGCATGGCACAAAATATCACTATAATCACAAAGCTGGAGGATTTTGCAAGGACATTTCACAAAGGAACGATTCATTTCAAAGTCCTGCCAATCACAGTGGTAGTGCACTGTTCTGTTGACGAGTTCAGTTTCAGAGTCGTGACTGGGAAGTTGCAGGATTTAGGAAATCTGGGTAGTAGTAGGAAAAAGGAGCCAGGACTTTTCATGGTCGGTCAGTTTCGTGGATTACAGGAATATCTTAGATTGGCTGGAAGTAGTATAGCAAAACCTCATTGTGAAAGCAAGCAAACA